GCGTATTTTTTCCAGAAATATTCACTTATTATTTTTAAGATATTAATATTTGAAACAGTCTTGATTTATTGCTGCGAAACGTGTTTTCTCTGGATGAAAACATAGTGAAATGATTTTTCTAACAAGAAATATGTAGTTCGCTGCATTCTGATGTTCAATACTCTTCGCAATGTAAGTCAGCTTCCAAGAGTGACGAAACACGCTAAGCTCACAAAATTTTTTCATTCTGATTATATCTATACACAACGCATTCTGCGATGTCCGTGATAGAGAAAGATGTGAAAATCGCACTATTTGTAAAATTATTTCGCATCCTTTCCTAAAATTAACGTCAGACAGTTGTGTTTTCATCACTGATATGTCTTTTACAGATGATACACTGCAAGCTGTTGTAACGGCAGAGATGCATTTCGCATCGTTCCAAGAAAAATGATGCAAAACGCGTTCTGTCTCCAAAGGAATACGAACCACGTTTAAGAAAGGAAAACGTTTTATGTCTCCTTGAAAAGTGGTTTCGTGAAACACGTTGCTTTTCGATTGAAATATGTTCGATATAGTTTTGTTTTGGAAACGCTTCGGAACGTATTGTAAAAAAACACCGTTTCTTATCTTTTCGAAAAGCCAAGTCTGTGAAATACATTGAGTTTAAGCAAACACGCAGTAAAATGCGTTTCGTTTCAATAAAAGCGTAGCGAAACGCACTAGTTAGTCGTCAGAATACGTTTCGCGGTGTGTTTTGTCCAAATTTTTAACTCACAGGTGGTTTTCGGTTTCAAAAAATTCAGCCCAATCTACTTGAAGCTCTGATATATTAGTTACTTTGATTTTTATAGTTTTAAAACCTCTCATCTTCCTTTTCATTTTTGCTTTGTTTTTATTTTTCTATATTTTCCATTTGTTTTTCCCATCTCACTTGTTGCTTGCATTCCCAGGAGGCTACGGTACATGGTCTCTGGCAATGGCTCAGCCTACTCGGTTCGCTGCTATAATTCCCATATGTGGCGGCGGTGATCGTCAACGTGTTTCAGTTTTGAAAAATTTACCCATATGGAATTTTCATGGAAAATTGGACGATGTTATACCAGTTGAAGAATCGTTATCATTAATTAAAACATTAAATAGTCCACTTTGTAAATCAACAGTTTATCCAAATCTGAAACATGATTCATGGACGGATACATACAATAATCCAGAGATTTACAGATGGTTAATTGAACAAACTAGGAATGCATAACAAAAAAAGTCGATGGTACGTGTGCAAAAGAAATGTACATTCGAAGAAAGAGTTTAGAAGATAAAGAGTAGACTCAAGTCATTTCATTTTTTCCGGTACTTTTGCAAAAAGTTATCTGCTTCGAGAAAAATTTCACATATGTAAGTTACAAAAAAAGTGATCATTTCGATTTTTCTCTGAATATTGTTTAAGGAATCCTTCTCCTCAGAAAAAGTCAAGTCAATCAATTTTGTGATTTATACGTTGGTAGATAGAGCAAAATGTGTACTTTTGAATCCACTATAGTTTATTGATTTAATGAAGAGCTATAAGGATATTATAAACGTTTTGACGCCTCGTACTCAAAAAAACAAATTGGATTTTTTAAAAAAAATATTGTTTTCGAGTTTTATCAGCTTTTTCTAGGCTTCTTTAAAAATATTTGACAAGTGTTGAGGACCTGCAAGATGAACTCGGTCTCGAGGGGATCGGGACCAATATTTTGAAGTTGGTCCGAGTAGGTTTTTTACCAAGAACTAGGCTAGACTATGTATTTTGATATTTAGGTACTTCTCTAACAGATGCTCTACCTCATCCTTATCCTTGTTGCTATTGCACTACCTTCCGTCAATGTGAAGCACCAGCTAAGGAATTGCCAATATTTATTATTTATTTCATGGTGAGAGATCTAAAAAAGAGCATTTTTTGTAATCTCGATAAAAATTTCTCAGTCATCCTAGTTTTGATTTCAAGAATCCGAATTTTGCAATTACTTGTCTGGTTTTTTGGCTATGTGAATCACAATATACATAAATTTGAGTTGATAACAGTTCAGCCATTCCTTTATTGATGGCTCCCTAGGCAACGAATAGATACACGTCATCGTTTGTTTTTTTCTGTCAGCGATACTGGCTCGTCGAAATAGACATTCGAAGGGTAATGCATATCCAAAAATAATTACTAGATTTTAGCAAGAAAATTGGATATATGAAATGGAGACTAAAGCCCATACAAAACTTTAATCCGAGACCGAGATCGGAACCGAAAATGGAAAAGCTTTTTACCGCGATTGACTCGAGACCAAAAAATATGTGATTTCGCAGATCTCTAGTGTGAAGTCTCATGAGATGCAACAAGACGAAATGGGACAAAAAAAATCGGAGAACTGTCTCATTCCATCCTACACAGAGCTCTCTTCTGTTCACCTGTTGTTTCATTTATCAATCACTGGAGATGTTTTATTTTCTTTTTT